GGGGCTGGCTGACATGTGGTTCTGGGGGATTGAACCGCAGTCCCTGTGCTTTGTTAAGCTTGTTCTAGGTAGGTGCTTTAGACCACTGAGCCATCTCACCAGCCCCCTTTTGCTTTATTTCTTGTCCCTGCTTTTTTCTTTTTTTCAGACCGGGTCACGCTATGTGCCCCAAGCTGTTCTTGAACTCACAGCAATCTTCCTGTCTCAGCCTCCCAAGTGCTAGGATTACAAGCATGTGCCACTATGCCCAGCTTGTCCCTCCTTGTACTACCTTGCTTGTCCCTACAAAGAAGCACACTGGCTTCTTTCTCTGGCCAGCACCTTTCCTGAGGCTGGGACTGGCACTCTCAGCTTAGGCCTGTGCTTCCCTCTTAAGAGGCTCAAAAGCAAAGAGGAAGGGAAGAGATCTCATCTCCAGCTCGTACTATCCCAGCACTATTATTTCTGGAGTTTTCTTCCCAGTACTACCTCGATCAGAACCAGTCAGGAAAATGAGATACCCTTGGGGGTTCTTTGGAGAGAGGGGCTTTAATGCAAAGGCGTGATAGAAACCGCGTTGGAAGAGTTGGACAAGCAAAATGGGAAGAGGAGATGGTACCCGAAACTTTGGCTGGACCTATGTGCTGGCTCCTGCCCTGTGCTATTGGAAATGTGTGGCACTTGGTTCTGAATGTGCAGAATATGTCCTGCCTTCCCTGGCAGCAGTAGAGTAGAGACACCTCCCACACACACACTTCCACTGGGCTATTGCTACCGTTGGAATGAGAACCAAGCTGCTTTGCTCAGCTCTCCTGGTTTCCCCCCAGATGACAAGGGAGACAGGCACCAGGTAAACGACCAGCACTGTGGCTCCCCCTATAGGACAGAAACAGTGTAGTTGGAATGAGGGGCTTGAGGTGCAGTTACAAAGGTGAGGCAGAGAACGCCATTGTGGGTAGGCAAATTTAACTACAGTTGATACTTGAGCACTGGGCTGTGGAAAGGTGAAGCCTTTAGGTCAGAGTTCTATAATCTTCCCTGGGACAGGGTTTTATCAGAAAGGAGGGTCCCAGGTTTCCCACCATCTTTTCTCCCTCTTATCTCTAGGAGGCCCGAGCAGTCCTGACCTTTGCTCTTGACAGTGTGGACCGGAAGCTGCTGATGTCTACCACCAAGGGACTCTATTCTGATGCTGAGGTGCCAGTGTGGGGACAGGGGTGAAGGCCAGAACCTCCTCTCCCACCCTGACGTGACATCTTGTCCCAGTTCTGGTGCATGCTTAGAAGCTTAGGGAGGACCCCTCCCTTGTACCCTGCCTGTAAAAGAGAGGGAGTTTTCAATCTTTGTCACCGTGGAAACCTTTGTGGAGATTTTGGAGGCAAGCCCAGTGCATGAGAGGAAAAGAGAGGGAGTGCAGTTTGAAAGCAGGAGGCAGAGCAGCAGAAGGCCCCCAGTCCCCAGCTCAGAGTGGTGACCTGCCTGGAATTCTGGGTCTCTATGGGTCAGAGTTTGGAACTGTTGGGCCAAGTGGTCTCCAGAGGCATTTATAACCTAGCTGTCCTCTGAATCTAGGAACGTGGCAGTAAAGATTGGGGTGGCCTCTGCTCGTATGAGCTGAGGCTCCATGGCTCCCCAAGGTTAAGGTTTCTCCAGTGCATGTGAAATAATCCCCTCACCTGAGATCAAGAGGGGATGGCACATTTGGGGCTCTGGGAGTGTGGGACTGGGGTACCTCGCAGGCTAGCTGGGCTATGGGTGGGTGGGTGGGTGGGTGGGGGTAGGACAGGGTCCCAGCACTGACTGGCCTCTTTCTTCCCAGCTCCAGCAGTGCCTGGCTGCAGCCCAGACTGCCTCCCAACACGTCTTCCGCTTCTACCGGGAATCATTGCAGAGGCGCTATTCCAAGAGCTGAAGCAAGCCAGGGCAAGGTGCCGCGCCCGCCATTACCACCACCCACTGGCTCAGCCTGAAGCAAGCCAGCAGCCCAGCCCTCCCTCCCTCTGTCCCCATGTGCCCATGTTGGCTTCCAGTCCCATAGCTGCTGGGACTCCTGGGACGGGGGCTTAGGAGCAGAGCCTCAGTCCCTGACATCCATGGGCCAACAGGGCATGGACCCCCACCCCTCTGTAACGATGACATTAAAGGAAGCTCACTGGAATTGAATGAATGAGTCAGCGCCTCCTGAGCACCTGGGGTCAGGCCTCAGCACTGGGTGCCAAGAACTCTTAAGGGGCCCAGGCCAGTGTTCAGGAGCGGTGGACTGATGTTGGCATTTTTCAGATGATGGTAAATGCTGTGACAAACATAAGTGGAAAACAAATTTGGAAGCTCAATTTGAGGGGAGGACAAATATAACACAAGCCAGGGACACCTTTGCTGGCAGGATGACATCTGAGAGGAGTCCTGAAGAAAGGGAGAGGCACAGCATGAACCCTGGGCCTTGTGGGCCCCAGGAAGAATCTGGCCCGGGTATTCCTTTAAGTCCCTTGTTAGCCCAGCATAGTCCCTGCATAAAAATGACACAAACTCAGAAGCTAGTTAGCTGCTTAAGGTCACCAACTAACTGGCCATGGAACCCAGTTCCAGGGTTTTTAGACAATGCCCAGGGAGACACGAACACTGGGAGTTCAGCATCGGAGGCTCCTGGTGCTCAGGATTGTTGATGTTGCCTAGGGATGTTTGGAAATACAAGGCCGGCATATTTAAGTTGCAGGGGCCACATGCAAAGAGCAAGTGTCCCCGAGATGGGCCACAAGGGGGCGGGATCAGCAGGCCTGGCAATGGTGCCTGGGTTTCATGCATCAGATCCTCCCTGTTTTTCCTGTCTTGAACTAGCTCACAGCAGCCCCTCGCCCCAGGGGACAGACCTCCATTGCAGGAACCTAGAGGGAAATATGCAAATGTCTTTAACTTGACATTACACTTCATTAGATGCTCGGGGATGTTTAAGCGGGGAGAAGTATTTTATTGCAAGATCAGTCACAATGGTATTAAAAACGGCTGATCTGCACATCTCTGGCCCTTGGTGGTGGCCCCCTTCAGTGACTGGCCCCTCTGCTGACTGGACTGCCTGTTTGCTGAAGTTCCCATCCTTGTTGCCGACGTCTCATTTGACTTTAATGATGCCTTCAGCTCCAGGCAGAAGGGGAATCTAGGAAGCAGGGTTTGCGCTGCCTGAGCTTCTGGGCCCATTTTCTCCTCAAGAAGAGGAAGCGGCTGGCATAGAATGGTAGAGACCAAGGGACGCAGAGAGTGGACTTAACTGCACATGAGCCAGCTCCAGTTCTCCCTCCTGTCGGTTACAGCTGCTTGAGCCGAGTCTGCCGGGAGGGCCCCGGCGGATGGCCATTTACCTATAGAAGGCACTTCAGCCTCATCTGATTGAAGTGTGGAGGACTTCAGCCCATTTTGCACGTTAGGAAGTGAGGCTGGGGCCACTTCACACAGTGACCAGGTGGGGGAAGGTGGCCTTCCAGCCCGGCTTACTGTCCGTCATTAGCCACTGTCGTAAAGAGAACATTCTGCCCCGTGGAACCCCTCCGCCCGATTCTTCCCAGTTGAATCCTCACAGCTGCCACCCTGAGGGTCCCTCCTGAGCTCAGGTCCCCTCCCTCCAATTTAGGCACAGACTCGGGTTTGGCTGCAAGGGTATCTTGTTTAATTTCTCACGTTGCTTTGGCCTGGTGAGCGGTGGCTAGGGAGGGGAGGGGTCTCCAGCTTGTTTCTGGACGATGCCGCAGCCGCGTCACACACCAGGCTTCTCCACTCTCTGCCCAAGGGTGCTCCTGGCTTCCGGTCTCTGGGTTCACAGCAGGGGCCGGAGAGGCAATTAGGGCGGGTCTCGGGAGGCAAGGTAGGCGGCCAGGGTCACCAGGGCAGCTGCATATGTGCACAGGCCCAGGCCAACAGCAAGGACCCCCAGCAGGAAGGCGCGGCGGGAGGTGGCTCCTGCCCCCTGGATATCCCCCATGGCCCAAGCCTTGTTGGTCTGTAGAGGCAGTGGGCAGTGGTGACCGAGGCGTCCCCTTATCCCCATCTTGATTCCCACAGCCCCTAGACCCTTTCCCTGAGTCGTCTTGCACCTGGTCTAACCATTCACTCATTTATTCACTGGCTGATTCCAAAGCCAGAGGGCCTCCTGTGGATTGGCTCAAGCTGAGTTGAGCAATGGGGATTCTGGGTGACTAATCAAAGCATATTTTATTCTGCTATTAATGCCAGGTGTGGTAATCCCAGCACTCAGGAGGCTGAAGCAGGAGGATCATTGTGAGTTGGAGACCAGCCTGAACTACCTAATAAGACCCTGACCCCTTGGCACAAGAAAAAAGCTCCACTGTTCTAGCTTACTTGATTCTCACATGACCATGAGGTGAAAATTATTCCCATTTTTCAGAGGAGATGGAAAGTAGGTAAGGTAAGGATAAGGTAAGTAGCTTTCACCAAAACGTTATAAAGGATGGCAGACCCAGGAGTTGAGTTCAGATTCTTAACTGCCACTGTGGGCTCTGAAATTTGCCGCATTTTACCCATGAAGGCTCCTGTGTAGGTCCTTTTCTCCACTGCCCCCAGGCCTGGCTTTTCTTGGGTTCTGTATTTTTTGTTTGTTTTCGTGGAACATGGTTCACTTCTAGGCCCAGCACCCTCCCAGCCCCACTGACAGACTGACCTTCTGAGCCAAACAGAAGGCAGCGATGCCCACGGGCCAGAAGCAGCACAGCATGGAGAAGACTGCCAGGCCAAGGTGGTCATGGGGTAGAAGCGGGGAGAGGTTGTCGCCCCCATCCCAGTCAGAGTCACTGTCACTGGATGACGTGTCCTGTGGACAGGAGAGGGCCTGGTGGGCATCTCCACCTGCCTTCCCCACTGCTCTTTCCCATAACCAACACCAGTGCTTCTCCAGGGCTTCCCGAGAGGCACAGAAATGTTTAAAGAAGTAAGCACGGAGCTTGTTTAGACCGTGGTCCCTTGTAAGGGAAGCTGTGGGCTTGTATCCCCAAAGATAACCAGGCACACTCAAAAGTTCTGAGTTTCCTCTAGAGGTTCATAAACTACTTGTAATCTCTGAGTTCAAAAGAAAGTGGAAACATAACATAAGGAACAGGAGCTTGCCAGAAGGGGAATTATAAAATGTCCCATTGTCCTAAATTGCTAGGACAAATCTGCCTGTTGAAGACGATAAATCATAGATGAAAAGCATAAAAAGTCTTATGAGCCAGGCATGGTGGCGCATACCTGTAATCCGAGGCACTTAGAAGGCCTAGGCAGAAGGATAGCAAGTTTGAGACAGCCTGGGCAACTTGGTGAGACTTTCTCATGGAAAAACAAAATAAGACTAGGGATGTAGCTCATCGTTCCCTGGGCTCAATCTCCAGCACAAAAAAACCAAAACAAATATAAAATACATTAACTTGAAAAAAAAGAGGCCAAGATCCCCAGGCCAGAGGGGTGTGGGATCTGGAGAGAGACAGGCAGATAGCACAGGAGTTAGCAGAGGAATGACCAACTGCCAAAGGCCGGGCGACAAAGATGAGAGAGAAATCTGCAAAGAAAACCAGGGGGAGCGGGAAGGATAACAGGAGTCCAGCGGTCCACACGATGAAGAAGACTCCAGGCCTAGGTCATTGCTCAGGTTGCCAGCCTGTCAGATGTGACCACAACTAGCGGCACCCCCAGCCCTTTCCCAGGCTTCCACTGAAGCCTGCTGTTCCTACCTCGAGATCCAGAGACCCTGGCTCCCCCAGGCCGGCACTCACAGAGGGAAGAGGTGGTGGTGGGAGCTGCCAGCCCCTCAGAGACTCTGCAAAACCTGTCTCTCTGAAGGGGGGCCCCAGCTCAGGTCCGACGGGCTTCTGGGCCAGGGGATCGTAGGCCATGCCTGCTAGTAGAGGCTGCTGAAGCTCCTGAAGGCTAGGGCTGTCCATGGCTGGGGAAACACACTTGATAGGGTTCCTGGGGGCGCAGGGAAGACAAATACAGGTTGAAAAACAGGCTCACCTTCAACTGTCCCCTGACTTGAGAGCAACATAGGCTGAGAAGAGTTAGTCCATTTCTCAGATAGAAAAACCGAGGCCCAGAGAAGAAAAGAGGTTGACCCAAGTTATGACAAGAACTTGGGGATCTGGATGTCCAATTCTGGGCTTCTGTTTCAAGCAAAGGCCTCTTATACCTGTTGCACTCTTATTTCAAACGGTGCCTTACACACCGGCCCCATGAACCATCCCGCCCTTCTCATCCAGGCCCACACACCCTTCCTAAATATATACACCCACCCCTCCTCCCTGGTGACCTCCAGCGGTCCACACCACCACCCACCAGCCCGGGCCGCACACCCTGAGTGCCTGCAGCCCCTGCCTCCCACCCCCACTGCACACCTTCATCCACCAGAAGGCCGCTGATGGATGTGATTGTGTGTAACACGAGATCAGCTCCCAGAACACACCTCTCAGCTCACAGCCTTATTACACACTGATCCCAAGCGCCTCCTTGCACACACACTCCTGATCCTCAGTATCTAAAAGCGCAAGGACCCACACACACACCACCTCATTCGCAGCTCCATCACTTCCCTTGCACACCAGCCCCACACACGCATCTGGGTCCAGCCTCCACCCCACCCCCAGCGCGCACACCTGCGACCCCACACACCTGCCAGCTCTCCGAATAGCTGGTATACCCCAACCCTCCTTTGCACACCTCTCCCCGTAATCACCCAGCACACAGACACGGGCACACTCAACCAGAAAGATTCTTCTCACCCTACATCCCCTGCGGGGCCCGCGGGCCTCCTGCTGGCTCAGCCCGAACCTCCACAGGGCCCATTTCTTCGCCAAAGGTTTGCATCCCCTCTCCAAAGCCAGGACCCTGGGCTGGGACTGTGCTCCCCGCCTCCTCGCCTCGCTCACCGCCCACGGTCAGCCGCCCAGACCTGCTAGGCGCCCCCTCGCCAACACGCTCCCTGACCTGCTGCCTGGGGGCTGGGCAGACCCAGCGTCGCTGGAGTTCGGGGCCGGCTGGAGTACAGGGTCTACGCGCTCGGCTCAGCTCGGGTCTCAGCACCCCCGGGCCGCAGAGCGCGGGGGCGGGAGGGGGCGGGGCGAGTGCCCCTGACCCCGCCCAGCGGCGCTGGGGGTTGGGGGGAGCCTAGAACCCGTCTTGGAGCCTGCAACCGCTTCACCAGCAGCCAGGCCAGAGCGCTGCGGCTCGCAGGTGGGGCGTCCCTGAGTCTCCGTGGCTTGGCCCCGGCTCCCCGCCCACAACCCTTGCTGCTCAGTAATAACCAATAGTAATAACAGCAACCGCAGCAGTGTGCCCACGAAGGGCTTTACACGCACACATTTATTGTCCTGTTTCACCCAGCAGGAAAGAAGCACAGAGAAGTTCGGTAACTTGCCTAAAAGCACACAGCTCATCAGACAATTCCCAGGCCCTGTGTTCAGTGCTTTGCATCTTTCCTCTCAGTAGAGCTGTTTTTGTTTGTTTTTTGGTTTGTTTGGGGTTTTTTTGCAGAACCGGGGATTGAACTGAAGTCCTCACGCTTGCCAGAGAAGCGCTTATTCCACTGAGCCATCTCCCCGGCCCCAGTAGAGCTGTTTTGATGGAGAAACGGAGATTCAGTGGCTAAGAAGGACAACTAGTACTGGGACCGGAAGATGTCAAGCCAGGCCTGGGCTCCTTGCTGGCCTGAGGAGAGGAAGTAGAGGCTGAGGGCAGGGCGAGCGGGAATGCTTGCGCACGCCCTATTTCCAGCGCTGGGGAAGCTGAGGCGGAGGCTCGCCGCTCGCACATACCAAACCAAAACCAAGACAATACAATCGGAAGAGGAAGGCGGCAGAGTTAGGGGTTCCCAGCAAAGGCCCTTGAGCGGTGAGACCCAGTAGGCAGCGCTGCACTGATCCCCGGGAGGTAAAGGCCGTGGTCCTAAGTCAGGGTTTGGATCCACCCAGATCTGGTCCTCTCCAGGCTCATCGAGGCCCTTGCTGTGTGACTTCAGCACAATGGCATCACCTGTCTGAATCCCAACTTCTTCACCTGAAAGATGGAAGGATACTCCTCCCTGCTAAATTTATGACAACATCCATAAAGTGCTTAAGCTAAGGGCTATAACTAGTGTGCGACATCTACTCGGTGGGGTTCAGTGTGAACCCTCTGACCCAGTATGAAGCATTTATGAATGTTGTTACCCACATTCATCTCCATCAGGGGGACTGGGGGCCTCTCCTCACCCTTGAAGCCCCTACCTCCTCCAGGGAGCCCACCCAGCTTGCACTGGACTTCTCAGAAGCCCTCTATCTGGCCGGTGGGTCGAGAGGATTCCCCAGCCTGAGGCGGGGCCAGCCGGAGTTCCCTTGCTCAGGGATCCGGGGCACCGTGCCAAGAGTCCAGATGCCGGAGCTGGCACGGGCCCCACTCCCGGGGAGAACAGATGGTGTCTGTGAGTGCACTTGGCTCAACCCAAGTTTCTGGCAGATGACAGCCACAGAGACCCACTAGCCATAGAGGGGAGATGCGAGGGAAAAGGAGCAGGGTTTCCTTCCCAGGATGGGTGCTCTGTTACTATCTCCTTGCTGGGCCCTAGCTGTCTTTCCCTGTTATCACAAAATACAGCATGTATAGTACTTCTTTCCTTTATGTGTTTCTTGTGAATCCTCCCATCAGCCTCAGCTCCAGTGGGGCCGGGATTTGATCCCTTTTGTTCCCTGCTGAGCCTCAGGGCCTAAAACGGTGCCTGGCTCGAAGTGGGCCTTCCTTACATAGCTGTGGGATGAGGGCATGAATTCCTACTCTCCTCAGTTTTTCACCAATTTGCTGAGCTCTGTGGGTCCCTAATGGGCCTCAGCCACTGTAGAGATGAATTTGCATCCGGCTAGAGCTCTCTGGTTACCATCAATCCGGTGCAGTCTCCCCAGCTCCCACCCCTCCCAGAGTCCAGAGAGACACAGGCTTCACCGAATTGTTTGTCTGTCTGTCTGTCTGTCTGTCTGTCTGTCTGTCTGTCTGTCTATTTATTTGGTACAGGGTCTCGCTACACAGCCTGGACTCATAGTGATCTTCTTGTCTTAGCCTCCCCAGCACCGGGATTACAGGTGTGTACCCCTGTGCCCAGTTTATATGGCCAGTTCAGCCGGGAGCTGGCATGACATGCGGTGCCCAGGATTCAACCCAGGTCCTTGTACTTGTCAGGCAGATGCTTAGACTGCCAAGCTATCTCCCTGGCCTTTTGCCAAGTTTTTGAGGAGTCTACAGTGTTAAATGTGAGATTCCAGTACTGGGCATGGTGGCGCACACCTGTAATCCCAGTAGTAGGGAAGCTGAGGCAGGAGGATCATAGCAAGTTCAAAGACCAGCCTGGGCTACAAAGTGAGCTCAAGGCCAGCCTCAACTGCATAAGAAAATCCTGTCTCAAAAATACAAACAAAAAACCACACGTGAGCCTGGGAGAGAGCTCAGCAGCATAAGTATCTGCTTGGCAAGTGCAAGGTCCTGAGTGCTCTCTCCAGGCTGATGAGATAGCTCAGTGGTGTAAAACACCTTTTTAGGCAAGCTTAGGCAAGCGAGCAGGGACCCCAGTTCCATCCCCTGCACCACATGCTGTGCCAGCCCCACCCCCAGGGTGAGCTGAGCCAGCCACAAAAACAAAAACAAAAACAAAACTGGCCTGGGTGCTCTCTGGTACCAAACAAACAAAACAAAACAAAATGAAATGAAACAAAACAAAACCCCTGAGATTGAGACTGCAGCAAGGATCTGCAGAGGAGGCCTATGCCACTCAGTGAAAGTTTTGAGGAGGAGCAGTCTATTATTTAGTCTCCAAGTGCCTTCCCACAGATTACTCATAGAGGAAAAAAATGTTACGGAAAAAACTAGCAGACGTTTCCCTGATGGGTTGATAGAAGTTAATGTCCCCAGCGCAAGACAAATCAGTTGGGACAACGTGCCATCTGCGAAGAGGCAGTGAGAAGGAGATGCTGTCACTTCTGTGGTTTTCCTGTCAGAAATGCATTACGCAAGCCGGACATGGTTGGTGTATGCCTGCAATTCTGGCGACTTGGAAGCTAAGGAAGAAAGAGCCCAAGTTCAAGCCCTGCTGTCCACCCCTGGTGCTAGCTGGCCTGTCCTGGCTTGTTTTGTTTTGTTGTCTTTTTGAGACAGGGTCTCACTATGTAATTCAGACTGACCCTGAACTCATTGTGTAGCCCAGGCTGGCCTCAAACTTGCAGCAATCCTCCTGCCTCAGCCTCCCTCATGCTGAGATCACAGGCATGCGCCACCATGCCCAGATCGGCCTGTTCTAGATGAAAGGAAGTTGAGAAAGCAATGACACATGAATACCAAATGGAATTCTGGGTGGAGCAGAGACAGTGGCAAAGCATGCTATTTGAACAAGTAGGGAACCTGGCACACAAGGTATGGATCAGGTGATGGTTTTGTAACAAGGTTAAATGGGTACTATGATAAATGTAAAATCAGTACTAAGGTACTAGGAGAATTTGCTTATTCTTTGGACCTTTTTCTTCTCCTTCTACTTGTTGTTGTTGCGCCCAGGATGGAACTAGGGTCTCCTACATATTAAGCAAGTGCCCTAGCACTGAGTACAGCCCCAGCCCTTTTAAAAATTTGAGAGAGGGTTTTACTAAGTTGCTCAGGTCGATCTTGAACAAACTTGTGACCCTCCTTCTTTAGCCTCCAGAGTAGCTGGGATGACAGGCACAACCAGCTAAACCTGGCTAAGGTACTTTTTTGTTTGTGGGTTTATCTATTCATTTATTTTTATTTGTTTCAGACTATTCAGACTGGCCTTGAGTTCAAAATGTAGCCCAGGCTGGCCTCAAAACTCACAGCAATTCTCCTGCCCCTGCTCCTAGAGGGCTGGGATTCCAGGCGTGTGCTACCACGCCTGGCTGTTATGTTTTTGTGTTTGATGTAGGCTTGCAAAACAAGACATTTACATTCTTTTTTTTTTTTTTTTCCAGTACCGGACCTTTTTCAGACCCTTGCACTTGCCAGGCAAGCACTTATTCTACTGAGCTATCTCCC